CCTCAAGGTTCAATCCTTGGCTCTATACTCTTTTTAATTTACATTAACGATCTTCCAGATATTCTCACATCTAAGGTGGCATTATTCGCTGACGACACTACCATTTACTCTTGTCATGATAAGAAGCCTACACTCTCTGATTGCTTGGAGGGGGTATCTGAGCTTGAAAAGGATCTCACTTCTGCTACAGCATGGGGCTCACAGTGGCTGGTGAACTTTAATTCAGATAAAACTCAATTTTATTCGGCCAATCGTTATCGTAATAATTTAGATCTTCCTATATTTATGAATGGTAATGTACTAGATGAGTCATCTACCATTCATCTTCTAGGATTAACTCTTACTTCTGATCTTTCTTTTAAACCGTATATCAAATCCATTGCAAAATTAGCATCTGCTAAGGTTGCATCTCTTTATCGAGCTCGACACTTTCTTACTCCAGATTCTATTCTCTATCTCTATAAATCTCAAATCCGTCCCTGTATGGAATACTGTTGCCACATCTGGGGCGGATCTTCTAATGATGCTCTTTCTCTTTTAGACAAGGTGCAAAAACGAATTGTAAACATAGTTGGACCTGCTCTTGCAGCCAATCTCCAACCTTTGTCACATCGTCGTAATGTTGCTTCTCTTTCTCTTTTCTACAAATACTATAATGGGCACTGCTCTAAAGAGCTAGCGTCCCTTGTGCCATCTACTAAAATTCACTCTCGTGTTACTCGCCATTCAATTAAGTCTCATCCTTTTTCTGTGACTGTTCCTAAGTGCTTCAAAAACTCTTATTCTTCTAGTTTTTTTCCTCGAACATCAGTTCTTTGGAATTCGCTTCCTTCATCTTGCTTTCCTGATTCATATAATTTGCAATCTTTTAAGTCATCAGTCAATCGTTATTTTGCTCTACAGATTTAGTCTTTTCTCTTCCAGTAACTTCCAACTCTTATAGTGGTTGCTTGCAGCCTTGTTGGAAGTGAAGATGTTAAAAAAAAAAAAAAAAAAAAAAAAAAATTTATGATAATGTCATTGGACAGGATGAATCTTAGTGGGAGGTTATCTTTGTTACAGCAGGAGTTATACAGGTCTTGCAAAACTTTGATTGCACGCTCACAGCACTGGTTGTTTCTGGGAATGTTGATTGGTGATTCGTATGTTTTCCAGTGGTTTTGCAAGCATCTAAGATCTTTTGGATAGTCGTTAAGCACTTCAGATAGTTCATCAAAATTTTCAGTGTGGAACAATCGAGTGCTAAACCAATGGTTGGACTATGAGTAGGAAATAAATGAGTAAATTTTACGCAGCCTGTTTTAGGTTTCAGGCATCAAAATCAATGCAATAAGGGCTAGAATGGCTCAAGAGTTCCAGCATGCATTGCTGATGAGATACACTTCAGAAAGTTTCAACAGATCCCAAAGGATCTGTTGTAACTTTATGAAGGGTATCTCATTCATCTCTTTGTGGTGGCAAAAGACACAAGTGAGGTGGTAAAAAAATGTTGTCATTTTGTCTCTCCAGCTGCCTGCTTACTTAATCTTATTTTTATTGTTACTGAAGGCTGATTTCAATTTATCATAATTGCTCATCTAATTCTTCCCAAAGAAGTACTCAATGTTTGGTGATTTAGTCAATCCATTGAGCTTATTGTCCATGATAACCCAAAGAATGGATGATTTCCTGCCATGATTGGATGTTGATTTCCTGATTTTGCATGAGAATAGTGTTAGCTAGGTCAAATGGTTTAACTAAATTAAATAAGGGCTGTTTGATGATGCCATCATACAACTGAATCACTAGTATGATGGCATCAGTTGTACTTTTACCAAAAAGAAAACTAAATTGGATACTTAATCTATAATCAGAAATGCGAATCAAAACTCAGAATCCAAGCTAAATGAACATTTTACTAAATTTAAGTTACTTGATTTATAATATATTGATTTTGATTTATTATATTTACTTGATTTATAATTTATAAAATAATTTAAAGTATATTATATATTAAGTAAATTGAAATTTTATTTCTTGCAAACAAAAGCAAGTTTTAGTTGCTTTAAAATGTTCAAAACTTTTTAAAACTAAAATGACAAAAATAATCAACATTAAGTGAAAGTGAAACTGCTTCACAGTATCCCTGATAATGATAAGTATGTGGGTTTTTTACTTTCTTATTAATTAAAAAAAAAAATTATTTTTATATAAAAAAAATTATAAGTTTAGTATAGATTATTATTTAGGAAAAAGGTTTTTTAGACAAAAAACAACATCTAAGAACTTAAACACTTTTCTTTTGTGGGGAAAAGAAACAATTATTGGATAATTATGAAACAATTATGGGATACACAAAATTATGAGAGAAAAAACTGTGGTAGTGGTATAGTGGTAGTTTTCTAGCTTAGTAGCCAAAAGTTCCATTCCCATCACATCCCTGGTACTACCGCACTCAAATGTTCCATTGCGCAGTGGCTTTGTTAAGGTTCGTTGTGTAGGTTTGCAATCAAAAAGCATT